CCAAGACACCTATCGTCGGGAATCTAACAACCCTAGTTCAAGAATTTGTTCTTCGTTCCTCGTGAAAATACATTCTATCAGATACGAGGGAGAAAGGGTAAAGTTAGTTTGAGCGTTTATGACTACAAGCATAATGGAAGATATATACAAGCATATGATACAAACGGTAAGCGTGTTTCATTAGCTTTGTCAAAACTTACAGGTATAAACTATGACAGTGATTTTGACCTATATGAAGAAGAAAGTGAGTCAGAAGATTATGAGCTGTTATGTGAAGCACAGCAATGGGAGGAGTTGCAATACTTTTGTAAGTGAGAACATTAGTGGGAACGTTAGTGTGTACGTTAGTGAGAACGTTTATTTTTTCATGCACGTGCATTGTGTCGCGGGGAGTTGTCATGGGCAATGACCTGCGCACAATATATAACGTACAGAGAGGTGAGATGAGGTGGTTTATGTGATAAATACTTTACGTGGCAGAAATAGTTTAAGGTTATTAGAAATATTGCATCTGTGATGTAAAATATACGTTAGTGGTTTTGTAAAGTGTCAGATTGACATATCTTCGGTAAGATGGTGCGCAGTGCCACCGTACTGAAGATATGTATACTAACTATAATTGCCGGACCTTGATCGGAATAAATATTCTTGAATCTGCTTGGTGGAATAAAAGATTTCAATTTAGTGAGCATATCCTTAATTGTTATCGTATTTTCACTAACAGACCATGCAAATGCAATAGGGATAAGTCTATTATTTGGTGCAGGTGTACCAATAATGAGTAAGTTTCCTTTTTTAATACAAAATAAAAACGTTCCATCAATTTGAATTATTCCGCAAAAAGCTTGTGTTTGCATGTAAAAATGAGTTATTGGAGGAATTACAATAAATGAATAAATTTGAAAGTCTTTTGAATTTTCAAGTAATTCATCACCTTTCTTAAATGTATGCAATTCAATTTCATTGTTAACTTCTTTAACTAAAATCATTTCGCAGAATCCTTGTTCGATTTTGTTTATGATTGAAAAAATTGTTGAGAAATAATTGTAAGATTGAATTCTATCCCCTTTTGTGGTTCCTTTAAGTTTATTTACTATATTATGGAACATCGTATAAGTTGCATTGGGAATATTCAATTCTTTTGCAAAAATTTCTTTGCATTGAGGAACATTATCAGAATTTGCTAATTCATAGACTTTTTTTCCTGCTTGCAACTTAAGAATTTTTGGTATATTGTTACTCGGCTTGCATTGCTTTGCTCTATGCTCGTGTTTAATTACTGGAATGAAGAAAAGTTGACCATTTTCATGAGTCTTTACAAGCTCCATGCAAAATTGGCAGTTAGGACAACGAAACTTTTTTCCTTGCTCAAAATTTAATGGATAAAAAGAATTATATGAATCTTTTGCAATAAATATAGCAGCTTCTGTAGGATCTGTAAATTTTAATTTGCTATATCTTTCCTTGAGAATTGGAATTGGGGATTTTCAGGTATTTCCATTCTATATTTCAATTTTTTACGGGAATTCAATTCATTTTGAATTAAATCCAGCATATCAGCTCCATCTCCTTTTTCTTCATCAACAATAGCTTGGATGGATACTGATATAGTTTGATTCTCTTCCACTATTGTCGGTTCGCTTTCCGACATGAGATAAAATTGAAGGTTTAACGTACTTTTGATACTCTGAGTTAAAAAAAGATTTTCTTAACATAATTTGATTTATTGGTCCTTAAAAAATTCTGATTCAAAATTGAATTGAATCGAACGAGTTTTCCTTTTGAGTCATTTCAAATATTCATGAGAAAGAAAAAAAATTCTAGCAATTTCAAATATTTTTGATTTGATTGAATTCAAAAGTGTCACAAATATTCAATGAGAAAGAGAAAAGAGATCGAATATGTTGTTTCTGAGCGAATAGTCAAGCAATATTTCGTTAAGTACAAAGATCAGCATCCGGAAAAAAATAAATGGGTATATCAAAATGAGATTCCGCAAGAAATATTTGAAAAATATCTAGAAACGAAGAAAACAGAAAATATTGATGAAATGTTACGCTGTACTCGAATTGTTCATGTTGTTGATCAAGATAAAAAAGAATTTTATCTTGAATTTTCAAAAAAAAATCAAATTCATCACATATTAAACAAGAATCTAGATGAAGAACATCAAAAGGCTTATATAGATTATCTTGAAAGTTTACTCAAACTTGAAATAAAAAAAAAAAATTAAATTAACCCTCGTTAGGATATCGTTGCAAATAAAGATCTGTTTCTCAGAAAGATCCTGATTTTCTGATAAATATTCTGTTGTAACTTCTACAAGGTTTTAAGATATGAAAAACATTTTTGAATATTTCATCGCTATCAAATCTGCGGAAACATCTGGAATATAATTTCAAATATTTGTGAAGATTTGAATTCTCAATTGCATAATTAATTAAAAATTCATGTGAATTTAAAAAATCGGTAGATGAAATTTGCATGGGTATAAGAGGAAGTACACAATAATACCCCTGAACTACATACTCTGTAAATGAATAGTGAGGAGAAAGACTTCGCAGAATTTCAAGTGTTTTTATGAATTCTAAAGCCATCTCAGATGTTATATCGACTGCTTTATAAAATAAAACTATAAATTTGAGAAGATAAACAAAATCTTCGTTATTTATAATTGAATTCACGTCATTAAAAAAGTTGAAATAATTTGATATTAGTATATCCGAACATGGAAGAGCAGTTGCATATCCTGGGTAATATTTTAATAATTTTGTAAAGAAATTTGCAATTGCATAAGTTGAATATTGATTTTCGTACTCAATAATACTAGAAAAAATTTCTTTCTTGAGTAAAACTGCGTTTTGGAAGAATTCAACGTCAAGAATATTGTTTTTAATCAAAGCAATAAATGTATCGATGATATAGAGAGAATTGTCACTGCTGCTTATGAAACGTAATATCTCATCATATTGATCGGAAAATGTTGATAAATAAAGGTATTGTATGTTATCTAAAGCTTTAAAATGAATTAATTTTAATGAAAAAATGAAAAAAATCTGGTTAATATAATGCGATAAATATTCGAATAAATTTTCCAGTAGTATCAAATCTATTTGAAAGATATTCGAAGAAGTGATATTTTGAATTGTGAATTTTAATATTGTTTCATTTTGTGTAGATTGCTCGATAATGAAATGTATCAAAAGATTCATTGAATATGAGTCAATGGAAAAGCTTAAATCCTTAGGGATATCCAAAATAAATCTTAATAAAGAAGATTCGTCTTGAAAATTAGCTTCCGAAAGTTCTATTTCAGTCGGAGCTGGAAGATTCCGATCATTTATGAATCTCGAAACGACAGAAAATTTGTATTGTTTATATTTCATTATTCGAAATGATAAACTTCAAAATCTAAAATTTATTTTTTTACAATATATTTCATCCTATTGTCAAGGCTAAATTTTTCACCGGAAGTGTATCAAAAATTGATAAGATTTACGGTGATCTAATTATGACAATTCAATGCATCTCGTGATATAACGCAGATATAAACACAACTGATATTGCATAACTAATAATTGAGTCAAATAACTAAATTATGTGTTATATTTTACATATTTTCAATTTTGTAATAAATGGATGTTTAACACTAATTTTTTAAGGACTTCGACTTTAGCATCACATAAATATGTTATTTTCTATATTAAAACGTAATTTTGGTGGTCTTAGAATAGAAAAATATGCAATATTCGTGGAGATAATGAGGGTTCTTAAACATGTTCTTAAAAATAAATAAAATAATACAAATCTTTATTCAATCTTTTGATATTGTTGGTCCTCTCTTTGTGAAAATACTTAACTTCAAAGAGTATTATGTTTTACCTAGTGAGGACCTTAAGTTTGCAAAAACATAATAAAAGTAAAATAAAAAAGATCGGATTTATCACAAAACTTTGAGTATTATAGGATTTAATATATTTTCTTAGTAGATTATATGATTTAGTTTCTTAAAATCTAAAGTATTTCTTGAGGAAAATATAAATTGAAATTCAAAAAGTAAAAAAAATGTAAACAAATCAAATTTTAAATGGACCAAATGTTGATTTTTCATTCGTTTTCTCATTATCGAAAAAAATTTGGAAAGCTAAGAAGTCAATAACAAGTTATATAATACAACAAAACCACATCGGATATGTTTTCATCAAATAGTCTCCTAGATTTGTTATGAAATTAAAATATCATGATATTTTAAGGGCTTTTGATTTCAATATTAGAATTATTCAGTTATGTCGTGCTAATATCAATTGCTTTATACAATTAATCGTTTACAAGCTGCAAAAATCGAACAATAATTTGACTTTGTAAAAAAAGTGCGTCATTTTTATTCGTTATACTTACAAAATGTAAACATTACGAGAAACATTTACATTTGTAAATGTAACAAGTAAATACATCAGATTTAAATTGTAAATGTAGTTTATCTCTCTCATCTCCTTTTTAAAAGGTATTACATACATACGAACGCATGGGTCACTCAATAATTAGCGTGATAATAATTGAGGATAGACTGTAATCGTAATTTTATTTTTGGACTTATATTTCGACATTTTGAAGTCGCTTGAAAGTCTTGCAAATGATTAAATTTGGAAAATTTGACCTAAGTCTGCATTATTTTGATGACTTAAACAATTCTATAAATCTGTTTTCCTAAAAATTTAAAAAGATATAATTTCAATTTCCCTAAATTTATGTAATTCATATATCACCAAAATATTTGGACTGCATTTTGTTTGTCTGCACCTAATTAAAGTCTAAATACCAATTAATTTTGGAGTTGCATTGCTTTTAATGTAAAAATGCACGTTTAGAAAAAGACGATAACGATTAAATTACAAAATCGATAACGACGACGATTAAATTACAAAATCGATAACCTCTCATATTTATCTCTTGCAAAACGCATTTTTGATGATTATCATGTCAAAGATGTCAACAATGTTATGGATATTTCAATGTTGTTGTTTTATGAAGAATATATAATTATATTAGGCGAATCTGATCATTTCAAAAGATTTAATTTTAAAAATCTCGATATTCATAGAAAAAATACAATTTGCAAGGCAATTATGGATAATAGCTTAGAATCATTCATCATATTCACTGAGAGAGATGATTTTGATAAAAATCAAAGACTTGAAAGTCATTTATATCCGGATTATTATGAAGGATTTTCACTACCTGAATTGTGTTGTTACCATGGAGCAGTTGATTGTTTCAAGTTATTAAGAACAAAATTTAACTCAGAAATAACTCAAACATGTCTGCAATTTTCATTTTTAGGTGGAAATCCAGAGATCATGAGTGAATGTTTGAAATATCAAACACCAAATGAAGCATGCATGAAATGTGCAATTATTTCACACAACATTGATTTTGTTACATTCTTGATGAATGAATACAATTTAGAGATCGATTTAGATTATTGCGTAAAATATAAGAATCTTGAATCATTTTTAGTTTATTACGATCAAACTAAAGATATTGACAATTGTTTTGGTAATTCAATAAGTTTTCGTATTCCATCCCTCTATGAATATTTTCTTTCATTAGGGGCAAATATGAATTTTGCGCTCGACTGTATGTTAATTTGAGAACTGGACGTTAATGCTCTCAATTTTGAGAAGTTCGTTAACGCAATATCTCGATGAATAATCGATGAAAATTCATTTTGTCCACACTAACATACTCTACATAATATCCTTAAGTTTCTCTTAAATGATTTTTTTCAAACCCTGTCGAATTCATGGATTTTCGAATTTTTAAAATTTTTTTTCGAAATTTTTGAAAAAAAAAGTTAGATTTTCACAGAGCCATAATGGCGTAGATTTTAGAATGAAATAAAGTAGCAATAGAATGGGGTTCTACTGTAGATTTTTTAGGGCTGTACAAAATCGAGAAAAACATTGCCGTGCGGTAATATAGGGTCAAAAAAATCGCGCCTCGGCGGCTCCGCCGCCTCGGCACTATTAAGTGCGCATTATATTTAATATGTCCTTTTTTTCTTTTTTTTTCTTCTTTTCCTTTCCTTCTTCCTCTCCTTCCTCTTCTTTCCTTCTCCTTCTCTTTTTACAACAACGTCGAAGATCTTCGAATTTGATTGTTGGAAAAGCATCTATTTCAGATAAAGGATGCCTTTCTCACAGTCAACATACGAGGGTCCTGGCTGAAACGTTCTCAAAAAGCCTGAGATGGTAATTCTCTGATCACTCATAGCTGGGCAGGTAGTCATTGCTGACAATACCGGTCTTTATGCATGCACGCTTTCATGTATATGGGTTTACACTATCAATTCGCAAAGTTGTTCCGAATTCTTCCAAAATGGAAGGACCCGAAACAACTTTGCTTGTTAACGATACAGACGCATTACTTTGCATTGATACTGTGCTGAGTTGTGTAGAAAGTTTGATTAGAGTTGTTTTGTTCTGGTATCTCTCATCTTCTGATGAGAGAAATCAGAGCAACACAACTCTAATGTGTTTGTTTTCACTCATTTGTATGTAGGTTTTTAGTTCGATTGGAGCTGCTTCATAATGAGATCTCTCATCAATTGATGAGGGAGATCATAACAAAGCAGCTCTAATGTATATGCTCGTATTAACCGGGTTGTAATGCGTTGTAACGTCAGCTTGTAGTTCGTTTGGGGCCACTTCACATTGAGATGAGAAGAAATGATTAAAGGACTCTGAAAGGCTTTGGCCGTTGATGTTGTAATCGCATTACTTGGAACTAGCTGGATGCTAAGCTGTGTAGAATGTTCGATTAGAGCTGTTTTGATATGATTTTTCTCATCATAAGATTGGAGGAATCATAGCAAAACAACTCTAATGGGTTTACCATCATCTACTTGTATGTAGATGTTTGGGAAATTGTCTTGTTAATCGATTTTCGAGATGACTTTCAAATGCTATAATCAAATGACAAACAAGTCTAAGATTTCTCGACAATACATCAAATCATGATGTTTGTAAGTGCGATGAGATTAGAGTTTTTGAAGGAATGACAAGAGAAGTAGGGAAGCTCGGCATTCGCCGAGCAAATTAAAAATTAACGTATGGATTAAATTTTAAGAGGAATTCAATTTTAATTACGGGTTGTTCAAATATTGATTAATATATATTTATTAATAAGAATAAACAATTTTTGTTTTTGAATTTATTCAATTTATAGCTTTACATATAGTTTCAAAATTGTACAACTATGATTATTTCAATAAAAAATATCTTAGTTTTTCACTTCACTTTCACCCTCACTTTTTCCGTAATTCAAATTTCAACATTATGTATTTTAATTCCTTATAGTATTTTTAACATAATTAATCAAATAATAATTGGAAGTTCTGAACTCACTTTTTCCGTAATTCAAAATCAAAAATATGAATAATATATCTATTTATTATATACTAATGCTATTTTCAACTAGAAGTGAGGTACGGTAATCTTACGGATTCCCGTAACTCAATTTTACGGAAAAAGTGCAGTAAACTACTCAATTTACGGAAAAAGTGTCGTAAACTATTGATGTGGCGGTAAAATCACGGTAATTCACGGAAAGCTATATGCGAAAATTTGAAATTATACAAAATCGAGCGAAACACTTTTAAATAGGTTGTTCTCGTATTTAAAATACTATTCCCAGATTTATTGTCGTCAGAATATTTCCAAATTTTTGCCGATTTACAAAAAATGATTTACAAAGCATATTTTTTAATCTAAAAAATTCCTAAAAAAAAGGAACCGGTGTGCGGAAACGGCAAACCCAAATTTTAGCTAAAAGTGACAGGGGAAAAAAACGTTTAGTATTAAAAAAAAAGACCGATGAGAGCTTCGTTCGAAATATAGAGGGAACTGAGAATGCGCAACCATTCTCAGGGAATATTGGATGCTATTCCCGTTCCCTCTGTATGGAAAATTGAGGTTTTCAAAGGGAGTTAAAATAATATCAAATTTATACTAATTTACTTCAAAATACAAAAGTATTTGACAGCTAAAATTAGTTACTTTAGCAAGCCTATCAATACCCTTTTACGATTATTGCTACTTTTTCGAAATAAAAGTAAAAACAAATTTATACTAATTTACTTCAAAATACAAAAGTATTTGACAGCTAAAATTAGTTACTTTAGCAAGCCTATCAATACCCTTTTACGATTATTGCTACTTTTTCGAAATAAAAGTAAAAACAAATTTATACTAATTTACTTCAAAATACAAAAGTATTTGACAGCTAAAATTAGTTACTTTAGCAAACCTATCAATACCCTTTTACGATTATTGCTACTTTTTCGAAATAAAATAAATTTATTATCAAAAACCTTTTTTTTCTTAGTAAAAATAAACGAAATTTTTTACCTTATGAACTTTTGATGGAAATATGCAAATTTAAAATAATAAAGAAAGCCGCGAGCGAAGCGATCGGCTTAGTTCGAAGATTTTGATTCAAATCTTTGCTGATCTGTAATTCGCGGAAGCCGCGAGCGAATCGAGCGGCTTAGGTCTAAGATTTTGATTCAAATCTTTGCTTATATTCCTTAAATTCTTTATGAAACTCGCAACAGTTCCATAAAAAATTTTAAATTCTAAACTGTCGAAATTACCGATCGGTAATCACACCCTTCACAGGTGTGTCAGTTTTTACAGGCGTGTCACTTTTAGCTAAAATTACCCCTACTCCTTATATTTGAAATATTGCAAATGATGAATTTTTGGGGAATTTTGAATAGTCTATAAAATTTACAATCGGTTTTGTAAACTAAACAATTAATTTATGGTGAGCTCAAAATGTGATAAGAATTAATATTATTCATAAAATACCAACGAGATGAAGTGGTTAGCGGTTTTGACAACCATATTTCGTTGCTCTCCGTTGATAAGCATGGTGATGATAGTGGCGCCGTGTGTCATAAACGGAGTACATTCGTGGACATCTTTCAGGAGGCCATGAGGTCATGGTCTATGCTCCGGTGTCTGTACAAAACTTTTAATTTTTCGCGAGTTTTCAAAATTTTTTTCTTAGATGAAACGTTTGTCTGAACAACTTATGAAAAGTCATTCATTTTTGTTCAATTTATTATCCGGTATTATTTTTTATTGTTATTTCAGGAAATTTCGGTATCCATTACTATTGTTCCTCCAAACCTACCACCAGAGTCAAGTTATCATGTGGATGTTTTTAAACGAATGAATAATTCCAACTATTTTCTTCATTTTATTTAATAAGATAGTCAAATATAGTTGGATTTGTGAAATATGTGTGAGAATCATTCACATATTTCTGTTTGAACTAAAATACTTTTTTTAAGATCTGATATATTATTATATGCAGTTAAAATAATAAATCAAAAAAGGTGAATGTATTTAGTTTACTGAGAAATCAATTTCCCAAGTTAGAGTGTCAAAAAACCGTGAGAATCTCAGAAATAGATGAGAAAGAATGAATTCATCTAAAGCGCATGTCCGATCATATTTTTGAGTTAACTCATACAATTAATTCTATGAGTTTCTCTCAAATTGGTGTCAAAATCAGACCTGCGCTATTTGAGACATTCAATTTTAACCAATTTCTTGCATAATGTCAGAGATGAAATTTGGAATTGGAGTTTTTCCAAGATTTTTTATCGCAATGATGTCAACACTTGAATATCATAGAAACAATTTTTTTTAATGCAAAAAGAAGAGGAATATTCATTGAACATGTCAACTGAAACATGAAGTTCTACGACTTCAAAACCATTTCCTTGAATTGTGACACAATATACTGTCTGTTCTTTAATATTTACATTGAGGTCAAATCCAATTGGTGATATATTATAGTTGCGCATTATGTTAGGGTAATATTACTCCATGCGCACTATGTGTTAATCTAATCACATGATGTATTATTAGCAATTATGTTAAAAATGTAAACTTCAGAAAGTTACCCCCTTAAGTAGGATTTCCACGGGTCCAAAGAAACATCAATATAAAAATGAAGTATGAGATTTTTTAAAATATATGTAAGGGTGACCTTACAACTTTCTGACAAACGCTCAAAATGTCGAATGCAGGCGTGAATAGATACAGAAAATAAAAAATTTCAGATAATGTGAGATAATGTCAGGAGTAGGTGCCAAAAGTGCTTACTCTTAAACAACCGTCGGATTTCCGGGTGAAATCGTGACACACTTTCGTCTTTCGTAGGCAGTGGTGGTTGTTACAAAAGGTAACTTCGAATGTAGCGTGAAATCTGCAAAAAAAATTCTGAAATTTGAATGGAGAACACAAAAATTGAATAGTTTACGTCAATAAAAAAGAGAAAAATGAAGCCAATGTGTCTCGAACCTAGGACTTAGAGCAGCAATCACACTGTTTATCCCATTACACTACATGCATCTCTCAACTCAGTGAATGAGATCAACTATATGATAACTTTTTCCCCATTATATTCTTGTGGAAAAGTGACAAATAGCAACTTTGACCCTCTCTCATAATGTCAGAAAGAGGTAAATGCAACCTTAAAACTTGTGACATCGATAACTTAGTGTCAGTAGATAATAGAGATGTTACATGTAGTTAATAATGGTTGCTTAAGTTTGACTATATCTAAAAAATGATAATTAAAAAGTTTATAACACTTATTTTTAAATAAAAATTGTATACAAAATAATACAAAAAATAAATATATATTATAAAGCAGTTACAGTGAATGGAGACTTCAATTCTCTTCCATCCACTGTATATCTGACTGTGAAGTTGTACGTGTTCTGTTCTATGAAGTACAGTTTGAACTTAAACTCAGAAGAATTCAATTCTTGTGTCAAAGAATCTTCCCAAACAACATTTGGTTCGTTAAACATCATTATAGAGCACGAATTGCACTCTTTCGATGTTGTCACAATAATCATGATATCGCTGTTGACAGGAACTTTGTCAGGCTGTATTTCATGACCATATGAATTCAATACTTTCAATGAAACTGTCACGTTTTCTGCTTCAATTAAATCTATTACAGATTTTTCTGGTTGAAGGAGTCTCATGTCAACCTTTCCATTTCTTCCATTTGCTGAGTTCCATTCAACGGACAAGTGTTTCTCGAAGAAAGATCCAACGGCAGCTTGTTTCCGAATAACTTTGAATTCGTTAGAAGTCAGTTTTTTGTTTGTTACTGTTTCAACGTGACTTCTCAATGCTGCAGCTCGTTGTGCATCATTAAATGTCTCAATGCACTTCATCAGTTCATCACGTGCTGCTGCTAATAAGAAAACATAGTTGTTGCCATTTCCAGCTATGGCGCCGATCAACTTTTCTGAGCCGATAAAACCGCCGGGGAATTCCCCAGCCGATCGATCGAAAGAGCAATTTACGTTCAGTGCTTCCGATGAAGAATTGAGGAGTTCTACGGCAAGGAATACTATGTTGGACTGGGGAGTCAAAGGAACTTCTGGAACAAGTGGTAATGGGTAAATAGAATAAATTGTAATCGCTGGGACAACGTTAATTGGTCGGTCAATGGAAAGTATGGAAGTTACGTTAGAAGAAGTGGTACAGACAACGGAGAATGAAAGATTCTTCATTCCCGTGTTTGCCACGAATGTAATAGTGAAAGATCTTTCGTCAAATGGCTCAATGAACATGTCATGAGCTGAACATGTAACTGTATGAATGACATCTGGTCTGAATTGGAGCTGTGCTTGTGATATCTCTGTACGAGATGACGTATTAAGTACCCAAACATGGAAAGTAAGGCTTTCTCCGTCATATGCCTCAATTGTCTTGTTGTTTGGAAGATCTGTTCGTACAGTAAATGTTGGGGCATTGGCAACGGATTTAAATGTAATGGGCTGAGGTAATTTTACCATTGTAGGAATATCGTACATGCAAACCATGAGAGAATCAATGGTAAAGCTGCCTTCTACGAGCGGTGTAACATTGCAGATGACGTCTGTATCACAAAGAGCTTTGAAATCTGCGTTGTGACGCTCACATTGTAAACCGTCAACGTGGCTGACCAAATATGAGATTTTTATAGGTATTTTGTAGGGATTTCGGATTTTCGCTGCGATTCTCTGTGGATATCCGACCGGAATTACGAGGTTTTGGTTTGATTTTGAAACTGCATTGTAAATAAACACTGAACTCATAGTTTTCGGAAGTTGTATTGATGCTTGAGGTGGAATAGCCTCAGCTTGAATGATTGAAAATGGGAATTTGTAAGAATAATTCGTATCATTGTTTGAAGCTGTTAATAAGAAGCTATTTAAGTCGCGCTGTGTGTTTGGAGGCAATAAAGGACCTTGTAATGCAAATATCTCGATGAATAATTTGTTAGATTGGTATAATGAAATAGGAAGTCCGGATTCTAAGATTTCCGACAGTATTCCACTGAACAATGTCTTGAGCTCTATACCCATAGCGTTTCTAGAGTGGAAAATTCTGATGGATTCGATCATAAAATCGATCCATTTTTTAATTTGGCCCTGAATTGGCTCGTGCTTCTTAAACGCTTGCCCAACTCGATAAGAAACGAGAGCAGCCTTATGAAAATTGTTCGTTGCTTCGAGAATCTTGATAAAACACCAAGATCTGTATTCCATGTCATCAGAAATATGATTTGCTATGATAGATAAGATGTATTTGTCTGTCATAACCTTCTGCTCCATCTTCATAGCATGTAAAGCACAGTCAACCGCTTTTGTAAATTTATTAAATTTCAAATAAGCTCCACAAGCAGCAGAAAACGAGCAAAATGCCTGAGAATCGGATTCGTTTAGCGACCATGGTGACAATTCGAGCATAGACTTAGAAAGAGGCTTAATTAATCCTCGATATTTTTCATCAACAAGGGCGTGTAATTCGCAGATAGCGGCAACCATCTCCGGTGAACCGTCCGATGCTTTTGGAAACTGTTCAATTGACTTAATAACCATATTTGGGTCATGAGATACGATTCTAAACGCATTTGGCGTATCTGACTCGTAGGCGTGGGCGAATTTCTTCTTGCCTGCGTAATTAACGAATCTGTCCGTCATCATAATGGAATCAATTACATGAGGTTTAACAAAATTAGTAATTGTTTGTGTAGACGTGGATAAATTAAATGATTGAAGGAGTTGATAAAATCTTGGAATTTCTACAAGTTCGTCTGCAGGACAGTTATATAAAAAGTAAACAATGCGCTTAGAAAATTTTGCATTTTGAAAAATTTGTTCGAAATTTTGCTGAACTCTTGATACATCGAGGTTAACTGTAAAGTCGATAAGAACTACAACTGTATAGCAATCTTGGAAAGAAAAACGGCCTGATAAGTTAAAAATATTGAAATATTGAAGAAATTCATCTAAGTTATTAAAGGGCACAAACTGAGCTTCGAAAGAGTCACCATGTTTGAGTTTTCTTTTTAGGCAGAATTCATTAAAATCATGTGCATTTTTAGTTTCGATTGTTGTTGTCTTTTCATTTAATTTGTTTATGACTTCAAGTTCTGATTCAGTAACAACACCTGCCGGGAGAACAAAAATAGGGACTGCTAAAGGAAGTTCAGTGATGTGCATTTGTTGTCACTTTTTTATATGATTGAAATTGGAAAATTGATCATATTCAATAAATGAAGAGCTTAAATATCAATAAATTGAAAATACTGTTGTAATTAAATGTTTCTAAAGTGTTTTAGAAAGAAAGCAATATTCACGAAAAGTGACAGTCCTCCTTTTTCCTAGGGTTATTGATCACTTCCCTTCTGCTCGTCATGCAAGAAATGAAAGAAATGATTGGTGCTACCTAATTTATTACTCAAGTAGGCAACTATCTTGCATAATACAATTTGTTGTATTGTCGGTAATTCTCCTGCAATATGCCTTCTCAAATACAAGAATTGAATATGTAAACTTTTGTTCAAATTAATTCATTTGCTGCAGTTATTCATTCGATAACAAAGTGAAGGCATATGTAACAGATTCTTTTGCTGACAACGCATTGCCAACAGCAAGAAATGATTGTATTTTGTAAAAATGCGCAAACAAGAAAAAGGTATATTTGTTTGTATTTTATAAAATGATGATAAACCGTTTTGCTTCATGAATTTTCATCTTCTATATTATTTAGGCAATTTACTCTCAATGTATAAATATTTCGAATCAATTGGATTTTTTTATCCAATGCGAAGTCAATATGTACCAGAACTGCACGTTTTGGTTAACGTGACCTCAAAAAGGAAATATTAGAACTGAGAATTTGGGAAATTGCAAAAAATCTTATTATTTGAAGCCGTTTTATATAACACCAATATAGGAAAATGTATTTAATGGATAATTGTTGATTTAAAACAATGTGTGTTCATTTGAATTCAAACAAGCATTATCAATTTCTTGATATTAGTTTATTCAAAAAATTTATTATTTCAAAAGAGGAGAACAACCACACTTTTTACATTATATTTCTACAATAAATGAGAAACCCCGATATCTCAGCACAGTTTTCAATACTTGAATTTGAAATTCAATTTAAACATGGAGCTTATAATGAAATATGCATACCTTAACAGATCAATTCAGAAAATTGAGTATGCGATCTGAAAAGACTGCATAAATAATATTTTTTATTACTTAATTTTGATAAACCATATTTTAAATAAACTTATACTATAAAAAAAAAAAAAAAAAAAAAAAGGTAGTGGGGCTTCCAGGCACTTCGTGCCCTCTAGCCCCGAAGATGTTTAGTATAAATGAAGTTTTTATTCGGAAAATTGTTAGTCTTCTGGTGTGAATTCGGAGGACTCTTCTTGGATAGAGTTTTGTATTTCCTCCTCCTCTTCTTCTTCCTCCATTGCTTCTGGGAAGAAGCCTTCTTCTGGGTCGAAAACATTATATAATGTGTAATTGAATGACACATTATATCTTTCTTTGAGTTCGCTCCTGACAAAGAACTTAGTTCCAGGAATACAGAAGACTTCTGTGCGTTGGAAAAGCTGATGTCCTGGAACGAATTTGGCAATTAGAGACTTCTTTTTTCCGAATTGTTCAGGAGTTTCCATGACGACAGTAACAACATCTCCATCTGCGAGGTCTTGTTGTTGTTCGGAAAGGTAAAGAGCAATGATATGAATGGTTGCTGCGTTGAATTCGAGAAAGTCGAATTCAAATTGTGTTGTCGTATAACATTCAAACCATTTTGTACAGTTGTCTCCGAACTCGTCAACGTATTCATCTTCGTCATATCCGTAACTAAAGACTTGGAATTCAGCAATTCTCTTGTCGAATGACCGTTGCATGTAACGAGGAAGATTTTGACGAACTTGGTATAAAGTTCTCAACATTATAAGCTTAGTAAATGTTGGAAAATACTGAACTAAGACATCGCTAAGCTCAATTGGATTTGGAATTGTCTTAGTAAGTTCAATTGAACTAGCAATTGCTTTGTTCAGAACTTCACAGAACTGAGTATTGTATGTAGCGTCTGGTTGTGTGTTTTCTTCGGCTTCTTTGAGATATTTAGAGCAAATTTGTTGAAGAATTTCTCTTAATTCGTTGTTAGATTTTTTGGTGGTTATTCTAACCGCTGTGCCGGTTCTTGGAGGTTGTGGGGCTTTGGCTTTGGTTAGCGGTTGAGAATTGTGGTTAACAGCGTTGGCTTCCATTAGACAAAAATAAACTGTTTTTTCAAATAAGAGTTTGAGATGAACCGTTTTCGTCAACGGAGACCCCCTCTATTTTTTTATTTTATTTAATAGTTACCGTTGGAAAACCGTTCCATCTCAAATATTGAATGAACTATAAACGTTTTTTGTTTTCTATATATACTTTTTTGTCCAACGGTAAAACTTTTTACACAACGGTTTTTGAGAGTCGTCGCTGTTGACTTTTTTGTAGAGCACTCAAAATAGTATAACTTTGTCCGCAAAGTAAGGTCTATCGTCGCTACAGGAAAAGTTACAGGCGTTCCAAGGAAGTATACTTTGAGAAGCCTTTCCCCTTATAGAATGAGATAAGACGGTTATTTTACAAAACTGACAACACGTTGACCGAGTAGTTTTTTGAGCTGAACAAATAGTGTCATATAAACATCTGTCAAAAACCGCCTTTTAACTTCACTTAAAATGCCACGTAAGCTACGTAAGAATATACGTAAGAGGAAGAGAGCATTGAAACATCCAATAGTAAAACTAACACCACAACAACAGTTGCAACAACAAATTATGAATGACCCCACTATGTTGCAACAAATGTCAAGCAACCCTATGCTTTTAAAACCGAGTTATTGGTGCACAGAGTGGAGGTTTAAGAGCGGCACTTTTAGCGAAAATGGCAGGCTATGGTGGAGCTGCAGACGGAACAGCTTATAACCCTCAAAGTCAAATGAATTTGAGTTCACTCAAAAATCAAATAACAGATGTCAAAAAGTCAAACATAGACATACAGAAACAAATAAGTGAAAACGAAAAGAAACTAGAATATGACAGACACACAAAGAAACTCAATGAGTTAAACGTAGAGAAAAAAGAAGAAAGAAGAACAACTGAAAGAACTAAGTACAGAGGAATATGCGAAAAAAGTGTCAGAAAAGCAGCAGAAGTAGCAAAAATGGAAAAGATGTTGTAAATTTGAAAAACCATACTACTCAATATAAAGTACTGAAAGATGAAGAGATAAAACAAAAAGCCTGAAGACATATATGGATAGCGATGAGTATAAAAAAGAAGTTGAAGCAAATGTAAAGGCAGAAAAACTTTTTACAGTTGCAAAACCAAACCGTACAGTATGAAAACTTAGCACAAGAAAGTAAAAATAACGACGCAGCCATGCAAAAGGCAATGAAAAGCGCAGAATATATAAAAGCTAATAATGACTGGTTAGATGCCCAAGCCAACGCTAAAGCAGCCCAACTTATAGGGTCAATAAGGACAAAAATACAAGCGGATGAAGACAGTTCAAATGAAGCTTTAATGAATGCTGACTTTAAGAACGCCTTCGAAGCTCTTCATAGTAAGGTGAAACTAGTGAACGACTTCTCATCTGGAAAGAAACTGAAGTCTGAAGGTTTCGACAAAGAGTTAAAAGAAGTAGCACAAAATATGACGAAAATAACAGATGCAGCAACGAGACAGGCAGTTCAAAGTGCCTATGACGCCGTTAGAGCAACTGTTGTGGAAAGTCAAGAAAAAGAGTTACAACAGACCAAAACAGACCTAGTAAATGCTTTCTTAAGAACGAAAAGTCAGGTAGGACATTATGCTGCAGATGGAACATATGTGCCAGCTGGTGGAACTTATATACCACCAAACCTCCAAGAGAAGCACCTGCACCAGGACTACCTAAAACATTTACATCGTCACATGGACACAGACACAGGCATGCACCAAAACCAACACAACAACCAACACAACAACCACACAACAACCAACACAACAACCAACACAACAACCAACACAACAACCAACACAACAACCAACAGTTCAAAACACTGCACCACAACCAACAGTTCAAAACACTGCACAGCAACAACCACAAACAGAGCAAGGACATAAAAGAAGTAGAGAACAAGGAAACCAAGAATTCTTAAAAATGCTTAAGGAAAATTATGGTTACCCAGATACTCTTGACTTTAGTGACAGATATAAAGAAGCTATTAGAAAGTTCAAGGAAGGAAATACTGACCCGAACCTATTTAGCTTTATGGTTCAGCACCAAATGGGATATAATTTCAAACCTGGAAAATACAAGCTCGCTAAGGGATATGATTTAATAGCATATCATCCAAATGACATGACTGAATTTACTCCAAGATATTTGGTGTCAGAGCTAAACGATAATTCAACTCTCTTCATGAAACGCGTAAAAAATAGAGACGGAACGAAAGAAGAAAGGTTTATGAGTCCGGATGACTTAGATAGGGAACTTTTTAAAAACGGTCTCGGAATATATGAAATGCCAGCAGATGAGGTACAAGAAACTCCACAGGAAGAAGTTCAGATACAACCAGACATGGAAGAAATAGTTCAGCAACAACAGCTAGAAGAGCCTGAAGGAAACAAACAAGTCCCTCCTTTGGAAACTAACTTCACAGAACTAGATGAAGATTTGGAACAGCCGAAAAATCTTGACCCTCAACAAGTGTATGCGGAGAATATGGAATCTTTCCAAGAGTCTAAGAAAAATTCGGCTGACATAGTAGAAGAATATCGAAAAATGTTCGCCGACATACAAAAGACTCCAACATCAGATGAAAATATCCAGCATAGAATGAAGTACTGAAAGATAATGTACACAAATACAACAATCCTTTTTACTTACGAGCATATAACGTTCAATCTTTGGATGAACTCGGTGAAAATAAAAGGTTAAATTTCAACAAAACATATAGAAATGAAACATTGTTTAAAGTTCATTCAGAACCTAGCCAATATGGAAACAAACCTACTTTTGTTTCTGCAGACGATGGAACTACAATGAGATGGGGTCATAAAGCTAATCCGGATAGGTGGTTCATAAACTTACAACCACAATTCCAAGAAGTTGTAGACGCAATGGAAGTGAATGGTGAACCAGATGTAGCTGGT